AATTAACATCCTATGTTAATTGAGCAAAAAAAATACTTTCTACGTTGTGTTTTCAAAATTTCATTTTTTGTGATTGTTCATTAGAATGAAAATAGTGTATATTTCAAAATTTGGATCAAACAAATTGCCATAAGATGGTTTTTTAAGGTTGTTGCATCATATTACTATACAACGGTTGCATGAAATCATTGGTCATTGTTTTAATTTTTACTTATTTTTTTGGGGATCTTTGACCCATTTAAAAAAATAATAATCTATGAGACCCATTAGTCCAATTAACCGCCCGGTTAGTTCGGTTTCGGTTCTAACTGTCGTTCCGTTTTGATTTTACTAACACCCTACGTCCTGGAACTCAAAAATAGATCTTGGATCCAAATTTATGGAGATCCATGATATACACTATGATGATGATCAACATAATAATAAAAAAAAATAACATATATTTTTTTAAAATAATTTTTAAAAATCTTTTTCCTATCCAACAGATAGGAATCTTTAGTTGTGGGCGTTGATCCTACCGTTTTTGACTCAACAACGGGCTAGTGAATCCGCTTAGTCATAAAACACTTTTTCTTTAGTTTAAATTTTAAATACTAAAAGTGCCCTCGACCTGTGAAGTGAGGTCTCGATACAAGTTCTAGAAACTCATGGGTGTTTCTGTACTTTGTGCTAAATCATTTGGTTACCCCTAATAGTAACATAAAATCACTAAAGTGCCCAACGCACTGGTTTCAGATATCCGAATCTCCAGTTCCCGGTTCGGAGATTTCTATTTCCCTGTTTGGGGTTACAATCACCTTCCGTTCTCTTGATTACAAAAGAGCATTGAGGCTGCTCATCTCAACCGCCATTGACGAGTTTGAACGGAGATGGACGGTCAATGTCCCTACACTACAAACATACACAAGACGTGTGTCGCATATCATTCCCCCGATAAAAAACCACAAAATCCCATTTCTCTTCTCCTCAGCGTTTCTCACTCCACTTGCAGCGAAGAACAATGGGGCTTGGCCTTCGAGCCATTCAGCGCTCAAAGACCTTATTCTCTTCTCGCCTTTTTCCACCTCCGTTTTCGAATTCTAGGGTTTCTCCTTTACCCAATTCTAGGGTTTTTTCCCTAGAAAATGTACAGTCCGCCTCCATCAACGCTCCCCTTAGGTGCTTCCATTCTAGGGCATCGCTTCAAAATCCAGAGGCTTCCGCAGCTGCTGTTTCAGAGGAAATCCCTAGGCCTCGGACCCCTGTGGGTGGAGCTAGGGTTGAGTTTACAAGCCCTGAAGATGCGATTGAGGTTACGGTTGATGGATTTCAGGTGAAGATCCCAAAGGGGTTTACGGTTTTACAGGCTTGTGAGGTTGCAGGGGTTGATATACCAAGGTTTTGTTACCATAGCAGGCTCTCTATTGCAGGGAATTGCAGGATGTGCTTGGTCGAGGTGGAGAAATCACCAAAGCCTGTGGCTTCTTGTGCCATGCCTGCTCTTCCGGGTAAAAATCCAATTTAGTCATCAAATGAGCAGCTTTTTATACTATCATTTTTTAGAATTTTTGGTAGATGGGCTCTAAAAATAAAAATAAAATCCATTTGCCATTGACATTCCTAAGTAGGTACAAATGTCTAATTGTCTATGCTTTTTGTTGATCGTTGTGTGTGCTCTTCCAGTAAAAACTGAAAGTTTCAATGAACTTTAGGAAAATGTTATGCATTTTTCTGTGTTCATGTTGTTATGTATCTCCATTCCATTTTTTGTTGTCTGCTTATGTATTTATAATGTTTTGGGCAATTTTTTCCATTTATTTTTATGTTTTTGTATGCAGTTTAATTTGGCCACTCTCCCTCTCCCTATTCCCTATTCCTTTTTCTTGTTGGCAATTTCGGGTTTGTTCAATTTATCTGTGTGATCTATCTGTTCTTTAATTGATTGTCGCACCCTGATCTTCTTGGTAAAGTCCGAATTTCCTTGCGTTTAGAGACATTATTTGATAGCTTCTAGAAGTTAGAACTTTGACGGGCTTTTCATCACTGGCTTTCTACCTTTGGCAATTTCATATATCTCGTTTCTATGCCTTGTTTGCTTGATCACATTTCCATCCCCTGATCTGAATGCACAATTTAGAATTGTGGCAAACATGAATAGCCACTTAATCCAGACCATGCACAAAAACCTCAAACTGCTTTATATCTAGTTTGATCGTTATCTGTGTATTTCTGGGTCAGTTTAAATAGTTATCAGGGTAATTCAGTAGGTTTTACTTTTTCTTCATACCCTTACTCATTTTTCATATTTCAGTATTGAAGTATCTACCATCGGCTTTAATTCTTGTTAAAAAAATATGGTTGCGTTTTCTGCATGCATGCTCGACTGATCCTTGGTTTTAATGATTGCAATTCTTGAATGTATGAGGTCAAGGTGGTAGCACTATCTATGATTTAGTTACTGGTCTTGGTTTCCATTCCTACCAATGCTAGCCCCAAACTACTAACGGTTTAAAAATTGCTAACCCATTTCTAGCAGTCAATGTTAAAAAAAAAAAAACGAAAATTTATGAACTGAAATATTTCTTTCTCTTACCCTAGGGATGAAGATTAAGACAAATACACCTGTTGCGAAGAAGGCCAGGGAAGGTGTCATGGAATTTCTCCTAATGAATCACCCTCTCGACTGCCCAATTTGCGATCAAGGTGGGGAGTGTGACCTGCAGGATCAGTCTATGGCTTTCGGATCTGATCGTGGTCGCTTCATAGACACAAAGAGATCAGTGGTTGATAAGAATCTTGGTCCCTTGGTTAAGACTGTAATGACACGATGTATTCAATGTACCAGGTTTGTATTCTATAACCATTCTTAAGTAAACTTTTCAATTTTCATCCCTTTTGCATTATTTGCTTCAGTATGCCTCAACATCTTGGTGGAGCCAATTCTATATTTGTTTTTGAGTTTTCTTTTGTACAAGAAATGAATTGCTTGTGATGAAAAGTTGGGTTTTCAGGAAGCATAGTCTTAAATCAATCTTTTGATCGAGTTAGTATTGTGCATTGTGGAATTTGAAATTTATATAGTCCCCCTGCAATTCATTTGGTCGAAATTGTACTAGTTATTTTATTATTGTTGGATTTGAAAGTTTCTGTCCTTTCATGGCAAGGTATATATTGTTGAACTTTTTCAAAATCTGATATGGTAGTCATTTTCTGTGATGTCAAAATTCCAAAATTTATTCAGAAACTTCTTCATTGATGTGGTATTGTGATTAATGCATGCTATGTCATGATTTAAGTAGAGGGGTAGATGATTCATCCATGGTTTGATTTTTTGCCCCAAGTTTCATGTTACACTTTGCTTATTAATCTCTATACTCATGTAATTGAAGGGAGTAGAAGATTATCAGTTAGTATATTTAAACGAGGCTAAGAAACTGAGGATGGGCTCTAGGCAGAGGTGGAGGTGGGGGATGCCAAAACACAATGTCTAAAGTTCCATTTTCACCAGGTTAACATTCAAAAAAAAGAAGAAGGAGAAGCTTTAGAAAAAGAAGGTTCATTCGAAATTACTCGAACTCTATATGAGTGCCGGTTCTGTTTTTGAATAAGCTGGACATAAATTTGTTTAAAAGTCATGAACCTAGAGGAGATAAAATAATTTAATTCACTTTATCAAGGATATATGAAATAAAAAGACCTTTTGGGGAGAAATCCTGTAGCACACATATTTTCTTGTTTAAATGCCAACCATTTTTATTCGTTGGTTGTAACTATTCAAAGAAAAAAATTTACATGTGGATTTTTTTTTTGAAAGGTCAAATTGTATTTCCCACAAAAGTTACATATTTATCAAAATATGGAGGCAGGCCATAAGCTGGGGCTCCATACATGGGTCCTCAACAATTGTCTTTGTTAGTGTCTAAAATTCTTTATAAAGCAAATTCAGGCATCCTATAGACCCTCTATTTCACCATTAAATATATGATGGATGATGTCAGCATAATCAACCCTTTCTTTATACTTATTTTTGTGGCTTACATTGACCAATGATGAACTAGTGCACTTGACTATGATTTGGGGAGAGCATCTATTTGATGTCTTAATCTTCTGGCACTTTTAAGAAAGTTCACCATAAAAGAAAAAACCATGTTAGCATATTCCACATTTAGTTTGGAAAATGCTATTCATGAATCTGGAAACTTCACTTTATTTTCATACCCATAAGTGCCTTAGAGTGATCCTTCATTTGGTTGAAATTTTGAGAATATCCAAATCAACATTGAAGATTATATAACTATATATTATAAGTATACTTCCCTTTTCTTTTTAGTTTATTTCTTCTTTTTGATGATTCAAGCTGTTCCAATTGCTTCATATTTGTTTACCATCTAAGCTTATTTAAAGGTTTGAAGTAGTCAATCCATCCTAGGCACTAAAGCATTTTTCCCTCACTGTTGAAATTGATAGGATTTATCAATGACATCAGTATGTACAGAACTTCTTTTTTTTTTAATAGCATCCATGATTCCATGTTCTATCTAGTTATATACAAGTTTTGACTGAATCCTTATGTATCTCTCTAATGTGAGTTAATGTTGGTTTTACAAAGAGAATTGTGGCTTGATTTCTTAGATTTGTGTCAGATGTCTGGAAAGTATGTGATGACACCAATTTGTTGTTTGTTCTTTTGCATCAGATGAGTGAAAATTTTTTGTGGGACCAAGGTCTTTTTTTTTTTAAATGGCACAAATATCTGAACTATTTAAAACAAACAAAAAGTAAACGAAATTTTAATTATTTACTGTGGTTTTTATTTCATATGTAATCTGCTGAGTTTTAATTGACTATTTATTTTACCTATTGTGAGGATTACTATTCATATCATTAGTATCATCATCATCATCCAAGCCTTATCTTCCATAATTCGGTTATGATGCTGTTAGTGATTTTGTTATACCTAGTTTTGTGGGTATAGATTTGCTAAGGAGATGTATATGTGGCTGGTGGCATGTGACAAGATGTTTTGTGAAACAGGTGTGTCAGGTTTGCGTCGGAGGTTGCTGGAGTTCAGGACCTTGGCATGTTAGGTCGGGGAAGTGGAGAGGAAATTGGTACATATGTAGAAAATCTTATGACAAGCGAACTATCTGGAAATGTGATAGATATTTGTCCTGTTGGGGCCCTCACTTCCAAACCATTTGCCTTTAAAGCACGTAACTGGGAGATGAAGGGTACTGAGAGTATCGATGTTACAGATGCAGTTGGTTCAAACATAAGAATTGATAGTAGAGGCCCAGAAGTCATGCGTATCCTTCCTAGGCTGAATGAGGTTTGGTACCAATCAATTGTAATTGGATAACTAATAGAATTCCATAGAAAGTGATTACTGACATAATTAGTTTTGCATTGTATGTATATATTTCTTTGTATACCCAATTTGGACTGGATAGTATCCTTTCTCTACATTTTTTATGAATATTGCTTTGGAGACTTAACTTTTTTCAAGCAGCAATGAGCCTATCTTATCAAACTTGTTAGAGAAAAAGGTTTGCAATTGATGCTCATTGCTCATGCTGTGACATGCAAGATAATTGCTGAAAATTCAGTCGAATAGGAATACATGTATCATAAAGTTACACTTGTGATTCCTTTTTGGCTCTTTGTAGGCTTAGATTATGTATAAATTGCAAACTCAGATTATGTGAAATCCTGTGCTTCCCTAAAATGCTTGACTTTCATTATTATTTTTTTAGAAAATTTATCGTTCTTTTTGTTGACTGTTTGCATATCTCAGAATGTGAGTGATATTTTAACTTTGTTGTTGTGTTTCCTTGTGGTTATAGTTCCAATAAACCTCCTTCTGATGCCCCCAATTGGAATCTATGATATTACGATGGTGCAGTGATATTTGTAAGTTATGAAGATAATTCCTTGGTCCAAATAGTGGAGGTGGTAAACTAGTAATAAAATGGCAATCCATAGCTGGTGGAAGGATGTGGATGACATTGGAAGAACTTCGAGGAACACTATCACAGTGTAACCTGCGCCAAAAATTGCTCTCATATTAGTGTATCAAACCTCCATCCGTTATAAATTTTGATAACAATAAACTTAAACCATGTTTTGTAAGTGATCATTAATTCTTGCACATTTTCTAGTTAATTTGGATGATTAGAGTGTATAGGTCTCAATATATATTAGTAGATTGCCTCTTTTCCCAAGAGATACAGTACTAAGGAGTTCTAAAAGTGGGGAGGGAGAGCGCATGTCTAATGCCTTGGGGGATGTTTAAGCAGAGGATGGTGTCAATGGCTCTGGTGGGAAAAGATGGGGAGCAATTGTTCTTCTGTCAATGAAGGATGGTGTCAATGACTGGTGGGAAAAGATGGGGAACAATTTTTCTCCTTTGAATGAAAGATATAAGTGGAGGGGTGGTCATGTAAATGTAGGCTGGGTTGCGGATGGGAGTGCTGTTATATTCTTGTCAAATGTCTGGTGTGGTCTTTCCTCAAAAGCAATGTCTTGTGTTGGAATTTTCCCTGCAGGAGTCATTTTGGGGGCATTGTTTTGATCGCGTCACACCCTGATGCTTTGGTTGGAACTGCTTCAAGAGGGGTGGAATGAGGTGCTCTTGTGTCCTAGGTTAAGGATAGCCTCAAGTATAAAGAAGTTGAACTCTTGCAGGAGTTTCTCTTCATGCTGGAGTTAGTTTTAATTCATGCTTGGGAGTCCTGAAATAATTTTGTTCACATGTAGTTCTGGAATTTTTTTGGTTTAGTACATCTTGATGATGCTTCAGCAGGACAACACTTGTTTTTGTTGCGATGAGTACTGGATAGTTTCGGCAATTCCTAGCATTCGAGTTTCGGTTGATCAGCATAGTAGGCATGCCCTCTAAGGGAATTGCATTCAGTATCGTAGCACCCTGTTCCTTATATGTTATATATCTTGGGTGGTTCATGAGACTGCAAAATTTTCTGAGCCATTGCCCCTTGGCCGTAAAGGTTTCGAATTTCTCTCTAAATCTCTTTGGCATAAGTTGGGTTTGGTTATAGGTAGCTTCATTGCCTGCTTGCTTTTATCTTGGTTTATCCTGGCTCCTTTGGAAGGAAGGGGATTATTTGGAAGCTTTCTAGTCATGCCATTGTTTGGGTTTCTTAGTGCATAGTTGAGAAAGGGACCAAATACAAGAAGCGCGCACCTATAATAAGAGCGCAAAGAATGGAAAAAATTAACGTGAAATGCAAACTTAAGAAAGTGTGATGTCTATGAAGTTTTATATGGATTGGAATAATGTGATGCAGATATTTAGAATGCATTTTGGAATTGTGTAGCGAGCTAGATGGAAGTAAATGGAGAATGTTAACCAGTATCAAGCGACCTAGAAACATAAATGGAAGTGCTTAGGAATTTCAAATGGTACTATAAAGAAGTGCTTACAAAATGGATAGCAAGCAAGCTAAAAATAAATAGAAGCATCTTACAAATATATTCTCTTTCTCCCTTTATTCTTGTCGGGTCTTTATTATGTTTCTAGTCACTAGTCACACTCTCCACCCCCAAAAAAAATAGAAAATGATGTCTTCCTTAGCATTTCTCTTCTCTCTCTCCCTAGTTCTCTTCCTTTCGCTCTCCATTTAATTTTGTTTCTCTTTCCACCCTCCCGCTCGTCTGTAGACCTCTCTTTGTTAGATGTGGTTTTGATTTCTTATCTTTTTCTTACCCCATTGGGGAGATCTTACTCTTACACCCCCAGGCAAAACACCTTCTTAGATTGATTTGTTGGATCTAAAACCATAGTCGTTGGAGGTAGGAGTGGGATCGTTCGGGGAACGCCGAACCGCCATAGGGTGGAAGCTCCTTAGGATTAGGAATTTAGGATCAACATCCGTATATTCAACAAGTTAAGGAGCTAGATCGTAAGATGCTTGGGAGTGAGATCCCATGCCACTAAGATTGAGGTTTTGACCGGGAGGGATCTGAGCTCAATTATGTATAAAATGAGATCAATTAATAATATATGATAAAATGAGATCAATTAATAGTATATGATAAAATTAGGATCGAACCAATCCCCCTCCATCTATTATCGTACACCTTAGCTTATTACCAATGCCATAGTTATAATACTCCAATTTACTATAATTATGCAATTTAATCAGCATCAGGATTCATAAAACGATGTGGCAAAGTTTTATGCTGGCTGCCCTACCTATAACACAGCCCTCCTGCTTTATTCAGGCTTAGGACCGACATGACCGGGTTGACTGGCCATGTTGGAGTTAGTTTAATGATATCATAAATTGGCTTATCATGATATTAAATTGTAGTTTTAGATACCATAATTCTAGTATACCACGATATGATATGCACCACATTTTAACATATTCTAAAGAAATAGATTTATAATACTAAGGAGAGGAGCTGTAGTTCAATTAATAGTATAGCTCCTCCCCTTGAAGCAATCCTACAAGCTTGTAGACCGAGATCCCATTTTATAGGGAGCGAGATCCCTATTCTTTAAATATAGCTCCCTCTATGATCCCTTAGAGGAACTGCGAGATCGAATTCCTAAGTTGGGACAGTGGCCTTATCCCCAAGGTTCTCGCATCTATGTCAAAAACTTTGGGAAAAACCCTAGAATCACCTGATGAATAAGTCCCAAAAGAAAAAAAAAGAAAAAAATATAGTCCCAAAGCACCATCTGACTATCCAGAAAATGGGTGGTCTGCATTCACTCATGGTGTTGATATTTACTGGCGGTTTTAGGATGTGAATTCAACTTTTTCTTGTTTTGGATCTGCTGCTGGGATGAGTAGAAAACAACCCCGAAATTTGGGTGCCCAAAAAATGCCATCAATTAACCCATGGGAGTAAGTGTACATTTTATAACCCCCGTCCTCCTGGAACAAAAAAAAAAGGCATTGAATCTTTTCATCTATTTGATCCCAACATGAGGAATTGTGCATTTTCTTCTTTGAGCAAAACTCTCATTAGAGCATTTTTGTGATCTGAGATTTTGGGAATCACCTTCAGTAATATTGAAAAGAATGCAAAAATATTTTGAGTTCTTAAACACACAGATCTGGCTACCCAACTCAAGAATGCTCTGTGTTCAGTATTGGGCATAATTAAATAGTTCTAGGGTGCTTCTTTGTTCTTCGTCTTCTTTTTTCTTCCCTCCTCTCTGGTTGGTTTCTAGGATAAGTGAATTGCATCCCAAAAATTTGGGGCTGAAAAGACACTCTTATATAGGTTTTTGCCCATGGGAGTAAGTGTACAAATTCCTATAAACTCTATTATGGCCTTTCACATATGTTTCACACTTAAATTCATTTTAGAAGTGATCAACAATCCCTGAGGAAATCCATGATGACATTATTTCTTCAATTATGATAAAAGAATTTCGAGGCATAAGCTTTATTCATTTGGTTCATGATTCCAGGATCAACTTTTGTTTGAAAGATCGCATGATGAAGTGGTTTCAATCCATCATTTGTTGGATGACAACCTTGCCCTCCTCTGTTTTCTTACTAGGGATCCACACGCTAAGGGATAGGCAATAATTTTGGTAAGTATTCTTAAAGTTATCTTTGATCCAATTGGATAGGCAACTCAAAGCCTGTGCCTAAATGCTTGCCCTACTGATGGGTGCAAGATTCTTAATTGGGTCAGCTATTAATTGAGGGCTCTTCTGCCGATATCTCTAGTTGGTTCTTGTAGGAGATAGTTCTTGCTTTGAGCCTAGCAGATTTTGTGGGTGACGTCGTTTACCCTTCATGAATAGGTGACATTGCTTTTCTACTATTGGAAGAAGCAAACATGAACAGAACATCTAGCTTGAAATAGAGTGGACACATCCAGCTTACTCATAGAATATGCCTCTTCCATCCCTTAGCTCTTTGTTCCAATCCTTTCTCCTTTCCTTTGTTGTTCTTTTGTGTATGCTCTTCTTTCCTTTCATCTTTGCCCTCTTTGCTACTTGTTTGTTTCATCTTGTTTGTCTGCAACTATGGATGCAACAAGATTTGTGCGCCTTTTTTGTCCAGTGATGTATGAGTTATTGAAAAAAAAAATTGAATATATGATGCTCCTGCTTGACATGCTAAAGGAGGCATCCTACGGCTTTAGTCATCGGGTTCATCTCACCCCCTTGGAGAGAGGGTAGATGCACTCTGTGGATATGTTTTCTTCAAGTGTGTGCAGTTAGTAAGTAAAGTAGACTTGTGCCAACTATTGAGTCCCATTATGATGGCAAGTATAACCTCTGATGAAGTTTGGCACAGGAATTATTTGATGGTGGATATGGAGAAGGCTTGTGATCTCCAAATTGTGATGAGGTGGGTAATGGCAATGTCTGGTACTAGATTGAACAAGTGGAAGCATGTTTGGGTTTTGGCAGTAATTAGTACAGAGTACAAGGCAGTTAGAACTTTAACAAATCTTGGTTCCTAGATTGAGTCATTTAGAATTATATGTTGTTATATGCTTAAATTGGGCCACACATATCATTAACATGTGGCATCACTTTGATTAGGCACCCTAATTTGTATCAATCCAACAGTGAAGAATTTGTATCAAGTCGACAATACTTCATTTGGTGTCAACTGCTCAAATTGGGCTAATTCAGCAATTAGATGTAGCATGCTTTAGATGTAGCAACCAAATTTGTATCCATCCATCAGTGAATTGTTTTTCTTTTCAAAAGGCAAACTTGTGCCTAATAGAGCCAAATGACAACAGGTACTGTTTAAGTTGTTAGGTCAAAGTTTGTATGGCTGTTGCTTAGCTGGTGGATGCTAATTTTATTTTGCTGATAATGACTGCCATGAGCTACTCCTGGCGAGTGAACTGATATAGCACGCATGAGGCCTGTTTGGATAACCCTTTGGCCTTTTAGTGCGTATTTGGCCAGAGGCCATGATGCTTTTCTCAACCTTGTTTGTGTCAGGAGTGCATTGCAAGTACCGCCTAAACCATGGCTTGAATTACTACCTAAATCATGTAATATTCTACAAATTTTTCGTTCTAGACCTCTTGTATGAGCAAGTGCGTGAATTTCCAGTGCGCTTGCTTACCTACCTAGATTGCAGCGCATCATAATGCAGAGGCATTTGGAATGTTTAGAGAACCTTGATTCCAAATGATAACATTTATCATTCATTTAGGTCTCTTTATTGGTCCTTTGTCGATAAATAAACATGTTTTTGTTTTAGTAATATACTCTGTCTCCACCATTTCGTTTTGGAACTTTGCAATCTAGCACGTGCTATCGTAACTTTTAATTGACCTCAGGTTTACATGTCAGCTTGAAGATGAGGGTGATTCCCTTCCTTCAGAGGGAAGGGGTAGAGCAACTCGCATTTACAAAATAATCTTCCACTTCCTTGACAGCTGTTTGTTGTATGTCTGTTCTCAGTTATTTATGTAGGTGTCTAGGTGCACAGTTATTTTTCAATTTTTGATTTTTATATGAAGTTAGCTATATTGGTGCGAAGGCCAAAGTATTTAGCATTCTGAAATGCACATATAAATTCATTTAAGCTTGCCCCGCCAATCTCCATTTGATGCTCATGTGACTGGTTTTCTCTAGTTCTCTTGAATAGGTTGTTGTTTGCTTAAATAGCTCGTCTTCTTTAACATGTTTTTCATTGAAGTTTCTTTCCATACACCAAGATGTTTCTTTAGGTCTATGGAGTTCATTACTTGATTTTAACGATTACACAGTGCATGTTGGTGTGTGCCTAACTGAGTGCAGGGAGATGGGGGTCTTAGGTTGGGCTCATTTCTATACCGCTTTTGTGGGGCCCTTGTATTCCCAGTCATTCTGGATGTTTGTGTGATTAATCAGGGACTCTCTAGAATGAAATCAAAATTTATCTGTCTGTATTTGTATATTTGTGTATATCGGATGTATTGGCTGCAGTTTGCTTAAATTCTTGAGAAATTTTGCATATTTTCTCTTCTATTTGTGAGATTCGCTCGTATATGGAGTGCAATTGGAACTTGCTGGATAAGAATATTTGTCTTCTGAAATTTTTCATTAATGCATGATACATGTCACTTACATAACTAGTTTGATCTCTTTCAAGGATATTTGTCTGTCTTCTTATTTTGTTTGTTTGGGTTTAGCAATCTAGGGGTGCCTTCCCCATTCTAAACTGCTCCATTTTTAGGATTGCTTACCAGCTATTCGTAATTAGAACTAGAAATATGAAAAGAATTCTACTGACAAAAAAGAAAAAAAATGTAATAAGAAATCTGGATAACTTTTAGCATCGGAGAATGGTAAACTTCACCCAAGATAAATTGATTTTCAAATGCACTTACCACTCTGCTCTGCCCCACACTGTGCAGGATGTCAATGAGGAATGGATTTCTGACAAAACTCGTTTTTGTTATGATGGCCTTAAGCGACAACGTCTAAATGATCCTATGATTCGTGGGCCTGACGGACGTTTCAAGCCTGTAACATGGCGTGATACCCTTGCCATTGTGGCGGAGGTTATTCATCAAGTGAATCCCGAGGAAATAGTTGGAATTGCTGGCCTGCTTTCTGATGCTGAATCTATGATGGCCATGAAAGATCTCTTGAACAAGTTAGGCTCCGATAACATATGGTGTGAAGGAGATGGATTGCATCCTCAAGCTGACCTCCGCTCAGGTTACCTTTTGAACACCAGTATTGCTGGTCTTGAGAAGGCAGATGCGATCCTTTTAGTTGGTACCCAGGTATCCTGGCAAGTCTACATGATTGACATTTTTCATTGCTTTTAGTGGGCATTTTCCTTCATAGGTTCAGTGAGTAACTAGGATATCCTCATGATGCTGTTCTTGTAGTTTAGTGAATGGTGCATAACATTCTTTATTTGCTCTCACTTCTTGTTATTTATAGCTCCTCACTTTGGAAAGTAATATTTGTGTGAATGTAACTAATTTGAGATTCACTTGCGTAGTGAAAACAAGTTTTAAAATCACTGGATTTTGATTCACATGATTTTGAAATACATAGAAAAGAAATTTGAGAATCACTTGATTTTGAGATACTTTGCCCCCAAAAAGATTGCATAGAAAGAAATTATCGTGATTTTGATTACTGGCTGAAGGTTTGTTCAGGATTTTTGATCAAAGAATAAATAAATAAATTCCTTGTCCTGTCTGGTATATTTTCTCATTTATATACTTTAGTGAGGTCGTTGCATGATTCAATATATCAGTAAAGGGGCAAACATAAGAAAGTAAAGTGAGTGCTGAATGGTTTCTTGATGTCCATGTTAAGAATTTTACACAGCAGTTAGACACTGGTAAAGACGAAGTGAGAGAAGTAAATTGTTTAAATGCACATCATCACATGTCTTCATTTCTGTTCGATTAGATTGTATTTTATATATTAAGTATACACCTGCTCCTTTAGCTTTCATATTGTAATGTTGTTGAAGAAGCTTCAGGTTAGTTTCTTAGTTTCAGATGTGGAAATTGACATTGCCTTTTTTATTACATGCTAATTATAGTAAATTCATCAGTTTGGCAATATGGAAACGTTAGTTTCTTTTTGATTGATTTTGTTAAGGCCTGGTCAATCGTCAATTTGTAGTCGTATTAATGGTGGTAGCTGCACTACAGCAGTAGCAGGAATAGTAATTGAAACCGGATCTGTAGTAGGATTGTATTAGCAGCAGTTAGAATATTACTAACAGCAGCAGTAGCAGTAGCAGCACTAATAGGAATTGTATTAGTTATTAGGGGTAGTAGTAGTTGCACTGTCGGTGCCAGTAATAATGGCTACAATAGTAATGATGATTATGATGATGATGATATAGTACTGAGAAGAGAGGCAGTGACCAAAGGTTTTGAAAATCGGTGATCCGGATAGGAATAGGCGATTTGGATTGGGAATCGGTCAGGCCAATTTGGATCCTGTAAAATATCAGGAACCGGCTGATTCGAAACGGTTCCCTAAGTTTGTAATTTTTATTATAATTTATGTTTAATTCGTATTTCATATTTTCTTAATAGATTGGGGGGTTTTAATTTCTTTATTTCAATTTTTTGTTTCAATTTTTTTTGGGTCATAAGAGGGGTTAGGGGTGGCCCTCCCCTCAGATGGTTTTCTCATTGTATACGATCTCTTATATTATAAGTATATGTTAATAACCAAATCTTGTATTTTATTTATTAATATGTTTACATTATAAATTATACAAGGAAAAAGTTTATAAAGGTTGCAGCCTTAAAATGTAGAACTACGGGTGAACCTCAAAAATCCATCAGAAAATATTATTTTAATGTTGAAAAACCCTCTAATTGAGCATCTTGACATCGAGATGTATGATTATGAAAGAAAAAGGATTTTGAGTCCCAGAAATAGTGCGTCTTACAACACATTATCTAGACCATCCATTTTTAAAATTTTCATATGTTTATAGATCTACTTGATTTTAACCATTTTTGGAGTTTAGAATTTTAGAATTAGATATGAAAATAGATTTTGAGATAATCCTAAGAATATTTTGCATCAAAATTATATGTTATAATCAAATTGAAGGTGTGCCCTAATTGGATTGTTTAAGGTTGCAACCTTATGGAAACCACACCCATTATATAATGTATTCTTTTTTTAATAGTTGTGACTAAATTGGGTGATATTATAAGGCGATTTAAATTGATTAATATTTGTATTGTGAACTAGTGATAAAATAGCGCCACAAAGACAATTTAGATCATCATCATCATCAGAGTCTTTTCCAACTATAAAATAATTATAAAATATAAACTGATAATTCCAATATCAGAGTGAAGTATTATAGTTGGTTAGGTTGTAATAATTTTGGATGAGTAGAGAGATTTAGTAAATGTTTGATGAATTGGATCCCAAATTAGGCGAGGAGGACCACCAAATTAATGGTTAACAGATATCCAAACAGGGGAACGTCTCAATATTCATGTATTTTTTGTAAAATAACAAAACTACATAATAAACCATCCCCAATTTTTTAGAAAATTATTTTTAGGGATTTTTAATATTTTTTTTTTATTTTTTAGGCCAAAACTGACTGATCCAACTGATGCGGATCACTAATCCACTGATCCGACCCGATTTTTGGGGTGGCCGATTCGGGTTGCCGATTCGCTTTTTGGAACCTTCATCTTATCGATATATTGTTCAATAAATATCATTATCACCATCCTCCAAGCCTTATCCTAATTATTTGGAGTCAACAATATGAATCCTATTCATCCATTCTTTTCAAGGGCATAGTTTCAGGATTCATGATAAGATGTGGCAAAGTTTTATGTTGGTTGTGTACCTAGTGCAACCCACCTCCTTTACCTCGGCTTGAGATGGGTTAAGGGAATTTTTATGGTTCTCACCCTTATTAGACCAATGTATTGTTCAATAAACAATTGACATAAAACATGGTATTTTATAGATTCCTAGGCTTCTAGTTTCCTAGGTTTCACAGAGAGAGAGAGAGAACCGGGTAGGATGTAAGTTTTGCCAAGGTTTGGGAGTTTGGACAACGAACCCAACATTCTAATTATTTTAAAAAATAAATGGACAATCACCTATGTTTTACCGTTTTTTCCTTTAAAACCAAAAAAATATGAGCTAGATCTTTTCCTACAATGTTATTATTTCAAAATTCAAATGGCATATACCCCCTCAAAACATCAATTTCCTTCTCCATCACATCACAAACAAAATCAAATACAAGAAAACCAAGATCATAAGAGCAAAGAGCTTAGACCCACCTTAAAACCAACATTTCTTGCCTCATCATCTCTAGATAGTGAACGAGAAAATCCCTGTAAAATAATAGCCCGAAACACAACTGAAATGTTGATCAACAAACATTCAAACAGGACATAGCATCTTAATATTCACTTATTTTAACATGATGATGAAAATTCATAATGCATTACGACATATTTTCTTGAAAACTCAAATAATATTCTTTAATATTTTTAGTATTTTTTGAAATTTTCAAAGGTTTGATGCAGCTGATCCGGCCGATCCACCGATCTAGATCACAGATTTGCCACCCAGATCGGTTTTCTGGATGGCCAATTCGGGTCACCAATCTGTTTTTTCAAACATTGATGGTGACTTATAGTCTGACCGAAGGTAGCGTCCTTATAGAGCATAATGGCGGAACATGGTTCATGTAGCCGATCCGAAATAGTTAGGTATAAGGCTCGGATGCTCATGATGATGGTCGTGATGATGTAGTAGCAGCAGCAGCAGTAGTTAGTAAAAGTTGGCATTGAACTGGAGTGACTCATTATGTTGCTTGGTTTATAAAGGTTACCCTTAGGCTACATTTTGCAAGTAATATATTCTTCAAATATGAATCACTGGATTTTTGAGTTCATGAGTTATCTCAGGTCTCTGTTGAGGTGGGTTTGTGTGTATATTTCTTTGTGACAAAAAATTGCTGTTGTCATTTGGGCAGTAAAAGTTCTATATACCCAATGTGTGCATGTGCATTGTGCATGTGCATTGTGCATGTGGGTGTGTTTTCCTTACTTATTAAGGAAAGAAAAATGGATTTGATGCAGTACACTTGAGTAATGGCTTCCACATCTTGACCCAATCCTTATATTCAAGAATTGCATGGGATTAAGTTAATCCAGAGATCCAGAAAAGGAGCTGATGCAATAAATGAGTCCTACATTAATTTTCCCTATTGCAGAGGATTAGATATTAAAGTGCTATGAACTCATGCATGGTGCTTCAGTTATGGTCGATGTGGTTTAGTGATTTGTATTGAACATTCAGATACGATAGGGTCTTTGTTAAGTTAGAATGTCAAATCAAAACCCATTTATCCAAAAAGAGGTAGTATTTTTGGAGAATTGCTTTATCTAAATCGTACCTAGTTATTTACTAAAGAACATATTTTTGGATAATGGATTTATCTATATGTACCTAGTTATTTACCAAAGAACTTAAGTAGGTTCTTAGTCATCTGCTTGAAAGTTAAATATTGGCCAGATCCATGTTAGTATTTTTTACCAATTCACTAAAAGTGTAATGTCCATTTCATGGGTTCTCTCTGATGTTCATCATTCCCTTATATCAGTTCGATACATATCCCCTTAGATTTTGATACACAATTTAATGTCTGATATATAAATTCTGTCAACTTTTTGTTCCATTTTAACTAGGGAATATAGCTATGATTAATTTTTTGTTTTTGTCTTTTTTGTTTTAAAAGCTACGAGTTTCATTGAAAATACTATGGTCATGAATGTAACTGCTGTCCAATGAATGGACCTGCAGTGATGGAAAGACATTGGGATGCCCCAAAAACTGGCATGACACAAGTGCTAGGTCCCACCCTCTGTATGTGTTACATCCATTAATCAGATTGATGACATGCAATCAATCTTTCGTATGCTTTCATATGGATCATAGTACAGTTTCCCTTCTGATAAATTATACATCTTGATTTTTTTTGTTTACTCGATAGCCAAGATTTGAAGCCCCAATGGTGAACGCGAGGATCCGGAAGGCCGTGCGTTCCTCCCAGGCCAAGGTTGGCTACATTGGGCCTCCCACTGACTTCAACTATGACATCAACCACCTTGGCACGGGCCCCTCCACCCTCCTCCGTATAGCAGAGGGCCGCCACCCCTTCTGTGGGACCCTCCTCTCCGCAAAGCGCCCTGCCCTCATTGCCGGCGCTGGCCTTTTTGACCGAAACGACCAAAATGCCCTCCTCTCTGCCCTCCACACCATCCGAGACCTCGGCCGGCTCGTCAAGCCTGAGTGGAACGGCTTCAACCTCCTCCTTCTCAATGCTGCTCAAGCTGCTGGCCTTGACCTTGGCTTGATACCAAGGCCTAACTCTATACACAACCTCTCCTCTGCAAAGCTGGTGTATCTATTGGGAGCCGATGACTCGAAGCTTTTGGACAAAATCCCTAACGATGCATTTGTTGTGTACCAAGGTCACCACGGTGATAAAAGCGTGTACAGGGCAAATGTTATCTTCCCTTCTGCTGCTTTCTCTGAAAAGGAGGGAACATATGAGAACACTGAGGGGCGGGCCCAACGCACGGCCCCAGCTGTCCCGACTGTAGGGGATGCGAGAGATGATTGGAAGATCTTGAGGGCATTATCTGAGGTTGCAGGTGTGAGATTACCCTATGATTCGGCTTTGGCTCTTAGGGCAAGGATTAGGGGGGTGGCGCCGGGGCTCTTAAGGGTGGATGAGAGGGAGGAGGCCTCTGTTATTTCGGGTGCGTTTTCGCCAGACTTTTGTCGGAAATTGGGGTCAGAGGATTTCGGAAAGGCGGTTGAGAACTTCTATATGACAGATTCAATCACGAGGGCTTCAAAGATAATGGCTCAGTGTAGCTCAACGCTCTTGAAACAAAAGTGAGGGGAAAGAGGGTGATGCCAGAAATAAATGCATTTGTTTCATGAATCGGTTGTTTTTTATTTTTGACAACTTGGTAATTATTGAAGGGTGGTAATTATTGAAGGGGGAAACAGAAAAAAGATTGGGATTGGAAGTGTTTAATGGGCTGAGGGGTGATGCTGTGCGTTGTTGGTGCGCTGCCTTTTGTTCAAGCCTTGTAATATCGAGGTGAGTCTCTTGCGCTTTGTTTTGTTTACTATGGTGGAGTCTGAATCATCGAGCTCGTTTCATACTGGTGTTTAGAGCCTAATCGGAGATTTTTTTGTACATATAATAATAATCCGACTTTGCTGTGGACTTATCGAATGACGTGCTGCACTGGTAATTTTGAGCAACGATCCTGCTCATAGGTAAACAAAAAGACTTGGTTTTCATACCAACCAGAATTTCCATTATCCTGTTGGATAATCTTTTCCTACTTGCAAGGGCATCAAAAACTATTTTTAGCGGAAAACGAGTAGTCATATACTATTTGTGCAGGTTCTCTAAACGGCAGAACACTCAAAACTCTTCATGAAACAATTTATGGTGGGTTTGGCTGTTATTACATCTCATTCATATATTTAAGAAGGGACCCGGTTTCTATGTGGCCAAACCCGCATATGTAGAAATGTGGACTTATAATAAATTTATTTTTTAGACGAATTGTAAGACTTAATTTTTAAGGACATATAATCTTTAACATGGAGATCATGAATATGAATAAACAAATAAATTTTAAAAACTAAAAATAATAATTCTAATAAGAAAACATTTGGACAGTTAGTTTCTATTGTTTTTTGGTGGAACATCTACTTACACCCATCTTTAAAATGGATGTCTTACACTTTATGGACAGAAATGTGGACAGCAATTTTCCTCTTAAGAATATGTGCATTACATCTCATTTGTATATTTAAGAATCTCTCTCAGCCCTATATTTTTCTTCCATGAACAGTAATTCCTTCGTTGTACTCTTAAATCCTATTTAATATTTGCCAATTCGAATTCAGACCATCGAAAAGGCTTCCTTAATCATCTTTTCATCTTTTTATCTCAATCAATTGATCTGGTTTGATGTAAGGTTTTTGGTAAAGTTTATCTTTTCATAATTTTATCCTAATCAATCCATTAGGATTTATGGAAAATTTTAATAAAGTTTTATGTCGACTGTTTACATAACACAAGGTATGTAGAACCCACTTCTTTTACGTGGGCTTACAATTTCAATTTTAATTCAAATTTGAGAAACTAAATTTCCATCGTCCCTCTTGACTGTGTAAAGACATGAGCAGTAAGCTACTTATAACCTATTCTAGGTGACGACAAGCAGAATTTCAGAAAAATAGTTAAAAAAGGAAAAATTAAAGAGAAATAGGACCCCTTAAAACCTGCACTTAACGAAATTTTGTAGTTCGAGTTGAGGAGAAATTAAGGTCTACACCCAACATAATACTTTTGCCTTCTAGAGAACTCACGCATGATAGGTTTCACAGCTTAGTAAACATGGAGATAATTCCACGAAAGTTACAGTGAGATTGAGTGATTCCAGTGAGATTGAGTGATTTAATACAATGAAAAATAGAGGAATATATGCATGCATGCCACACCTCTCTAATCTAGGGACTTAAAAAAAAGAAAAAGATTGTATACTATGAGACCATTTATTGATGGTACAAGGAGGTGACAATTATTTTTTGTCATATGATGTGAAATCGAGTAGATGAAAATGTGTCACAATATTCGAGAAATTTTATTCTTGACTTTGTGCCCAACCAATGACATATTTTCAACCACCCAATTTGAATTTTAATGGTCAATGATGATTGTGACTTCCTTCTATCAAAAGTAATTAATCTTATTGTGTACATTTTTAAAATATAATCTTGAAGGTATTACTACCTTGTGTAGCACTTTCTTTACGAATAGTTTCTTGGGCTCCAAATTCTAGGGATACACCTTCTCAATCTAGCGACCAACTTAAAAAAAAAAATATTGAAGGCAAAATAAGGCCTTTAGAAATATAAGCTGTTCAATTTTTTGACAAATAGGTCCAAGGGGTTAAGAACTTAAGATGTAATTTTTTTTGTTTTCCTTTTCTTTTGAAATAATCACTTGGGAATTATGAATTGAGTACCAAATTTGAGATGAAAAAGATCTTGCTCGAGTCATAATTTATGTAGAGAACTCTTTGTGTATTGATGTATATTAACTCTCTTTATATTGATGTATCAAATAATATACGAGACCAGTATAAATGTACAATCAGTAACAGTTATGGATAGATGTCTATCATACATATTAAGAACACCTAATCCTATCATAATCAAAAGATACATATCCAAAGGTACATAATCTTATTATAAGGGATATTTATTCATATGATAACACACCATCCTACAAAAAGCCAAACCTCCTTTAATAATAAGAAACCCTAACTCTTTATGAGATGTTATGAGCTCCATTGCTGCTGGTGGCTTATGTTATGAGCTCCAATCCCGCTGACGGCTTTCTTTTTTTGAATAAACCTTGAGCACCCGCTGGCAGCTTTTTTTTTTTTCTCTGAATAAACCTTATAAGCCCCAAGGAAATGATGTTTTAAAAAAATGTCATGGGCAGTAAGAAACCTGAACTATTTATAAGATGTTTTGAGCTCCATTCCGCTGGCGGCTTTCTAACACATTTGATATAAAATTGCGGTAATATTAACTTAAAGTTTAAAAAAATTGTGTACAACTTACTCGTCCAAAACTCGCCTCGCTTATGGGGTGAGGCCGAGTTATCCAGACGAATCTGAGTTGCCTCGGCCGAGTTTTGGAACGATGTTATTTTATTCTTAAAAGATCATCAGATTTTCACTACTTTTAAAACTTCAAAGTCATGGATCCAAGGCAGAAACGGTTGTACATTGATTTTGGAGATTCTAAGTCCTTGGCAGACACATGAATTGGCTGATGCACCAAATATTATTTTCCAATTACTTCTTTTGAAGATTTAAGGGTCAGTTTGAAAAAGAATTATTGTACCCACATCTTCCTTTGCAGAAATAAAGAAGTTCCCTTTTTTGACTCAGGAACCAATTGGGTGCCTTGCATTAATATTCAGAATTTTGAACCTAAAAAAATGGAGAAATGGCCAAATGTTTCAGTCATCTATATTAAAAACCAACAACCATCACCAATAGCTCACATGCTAATGGGAATCACGTGGGCGGTGGGCGGTGGGCTGCAGGATGGAAATGAAGAAAAACATGACTGGGTGAAAATTAGTAAAGGGAGAAAACCAATAATAAATAATGAAAGGTAGATGACAAGATGAACAAGATGAAAGGAAGAAATGTGCAAATGAAAAAAAAAAAAAAAAAAGAAAGAAGAAGAAGAAGAAGAGGAGAAAGAAGAGATGACAGGAAGAAATACAGTTAAAAGATAAAAAATAAAAATGAAAGGATGAAATATCTCCCTTTGTTTTTGTTTTGATTGATTGGTAACTTGTTGAAGAAATATGCCCTTTTAATTGACATCTCATTGTACTTAATGTAATAAACTTTTATTACTAATGAAAATAGGTAGGGGACCCTTTCCCCTCTAACTTGTTAAAGAGAAAGACGAAAGGAAAAAATAATAGGATGAAGGGGAATGACACGATCACAAGAAAAACATAAAATTAAAAGTAGGGTTGGCAATGGGCCGGACCTAGGTTGGCTCGAGACGGGCTTGGTCCCTATTGGCCAGCCCTAGGCTCTTGGCTAGGTGGCCAGCCCTTGCCTAGATCCACTCGCGCCGAGCCGGCTATGACCTGTCCCATTATTGGTTAGAATCCCACCTTCAAGTTAATTTTGTGGCCCTATCCTGGTTTTCTATAGGTCTAGGCCATCAAGAAATTTATCGAAGCACTCATTAATGATGAACATTTAACACATCATCTATATTTTTTTATTTTGTTTCGTCTTAAAATACCCATTAAAAAACACGTAATCTTGCAGCGAAATAGTTGTGAATATATAAAATGTTTTATAGAGACGAGGCTCAAAACAATCAAATTAGGGCCTACCTTCAAATGGTGTTGAGAACCGTGGCTTCAATACATAAAATCTTTGTGATAGCTTTAAAATGTATTTTTATTTTTAATTATAAAATTTAAAGCTTCAAAAATAGTGTAGATCGAGCATATATATGAAAATTTAGAAATCTTAAAAATTGACGGTAAAAAAAACGTTACAAGATGCACTATTTTTAAAACTTGAAATCTATTTTTTTTTTGTCATGTCTATGCATCTTGATGTTGAGATGATCGATTTGAAGCTTCTAACGGAATTTTTGAGGTGGGCTCTAATTTGATTGTTTAGAGCCTCGACTCTATATAAACTTTTTTGAATGTTTAATAATTCATCTCTTATGAGTATTTTGATAAATTTATCTAATTATATTGAAAGATGAAATAAAATAGTAAGATGTAAGGATCCGGATTCTATACGGGCAAGCCTGCATATGTAAAAATACATATCTATTATTAATAAATCAATTTTTCAAATGAAATTTTGGACTAAGCACATAATCTCTAACACGGAGATCAAAGATAATAGGAGGGCTCTCTCTCTCTCTTAAAAATAATATATAGAGAGAGAGGATAAATATCTCTTTTCCTTTGGTTTGTCAAGAAACTTTGCGGTTGTTTTACAATTAAGATGCCTTTGGCTAACTAGTTAGGTATGCTTTTGTACCATATTCCGACAAAAATCATCTCTCTCGTTGGGATTAAACCAATAGACGAGGGCATAACCGTCATTTTGACCCTTTGACAAACACCATTTAACCATATTGACAGATAAAACAGGCCTCTAGAATGCAAAAATGCTCAAATTTACCCCCACAAACCTAATTAATTACCCCATGTGCCTCGCCCTTTACATGAACGGTTTAGATCGTGGAGATCGGCACCACAGGGAAATCACAGCCGTCCATTATACGCTTTATATTGAACATAGATAGAAAGGCGAGGAATATGCTTCGGCTTTTGGTCTCTCCAAGAGCCATCTCTTCATCCGAAGTTGACCGAAATATTTCTATTTCGGAAAAATTTCGGGAAAAAAGCGGTAAAGAATTCGAAAAGTGGGGGCCATGGTGGGTTGCGCACGTGGCGCAGAAAGACTCGTCGTATTAACGTCACACGATCTCGTGGCTCATTCACCCACTTATTATTTATTTATTATTATTTTAATATTGTTTGGTTACCTAATTAATTGTGCCTCTAAGCCTACAATTCATGGGGTCCAAACTTTGTACGGATTAAGTTTGACTCATAACTTCAATTTATTTCTCTCTCTTTGA